TGTGGTCACCTCAGGGCTGGATCCTGCCAGGAGCCGATGCAATTCCCTCCTCTGGCTCCTGCAACTGCAGACAAACCCCAGATCATTCCCAAATGTGATGGGATCATTCCCACCCACTCATCCTCGAGGGGCTGGTCCTGCTCTAGGGAAGGAGAAAACATCCCTTCGTGAGTGATATTGTCAAGAAACAGGGAAAAAGGGCTGGGGAGAACAATGGGATTTAAAATATTCGGAGCTGATGAATCAGCCAGCATTGTCTTGGGAGCCAGAGTGACACTTCAATGGGAATCTGCTGGAAATAGGGGGAAGGATGAGCCCCCACACAGGGGGGAGAGGGTAGGCGAAGCAAAACAGCTTAATTGAAGGAAGGGAAATATCTCATTAACAAGGTCTTGAGCTCACAGAGTGAATCAGTGACGTTTTGGGGATGAGGAGGAGGAACCCGGGTCCTGTGGTGGGGTTTGGGAGATCCCTGGCCTTACTACAGTCCAACCTCAGCCTATGGATGAGGTTTTCCAGCATCTCCAGAGCTTCCCTGGTTGCCAGCGGGTCCCTGGACGGCAGCTCCTATCCTGCACTCCAGTCCACATCTGTTGCCATTGGAAGTGCATAAAAAGCTTTTAATGTACAGACAAAAGCTGGGAAAGTGGGATTTGGGGCTTTAGCATCCATGCAGGATGAGCCCTGGTGGTGTGAGGCTCCTTTGACCCTGGAATAAAAGCCCTTTGGGTGTTGTTTGAGGGGGGTTGGGTGTTGGTAGAGGGATTTTTTTCCACGTTTTCTAACACATTACTATTTTGGGTGCTAAAAATTCTACTTAGGCAATGGTACTGCAGGATCTGTCCAGAGGGAATTGCATCTTCAGGAAGGTTTGGAGGATACTGAGTTGTTTTCTTGTTCTCCCTTTCCTGCCTGTCAGAGGAAACGAGCTGTAATTATGGCCAAGCTGCCTCTGTCAGGGTTTAATGATGGGTCTGCAAGTGAGGGAGAGAGTTTGGTCATTGCATCTCCCTGAATCCCATCATTAAGGCTGGAATGTGGCCAGGTTATCCCAGGATAATGAGGAGTGTGTTGGATATCTATCTTAGGGATGGGAATTGGGTTGAAAGAGTGATGTGTGGGTGTCTCTGCCCCTCCCAAAACTGCTAAAGTCCTGGTTAATATCACTTAACCACAGGCCAAAAATAAGGAAAACTCACCTGGCTCAGGACATCCTTTGGGAGCTGGGGAACAGGATCCCAGCTCCATCCCTGCCTGGAGAAATGCAGCTCAGGATATCCCTCGGGAGCTGGGGAACAGGATCCCAACTCCATCCCTGCCTGGAGGATCCTGAGTGCTCCCCCAGGATCCCAACCACTCCCCATCCCCTTCCCTGCATGTTCCTCCCAGTCCCATTTGCTCAGGGAATAAAACAGCACAAATTGAGCAGAATTTGTAACTGTGAAAGGAGGAAAAAAACCCTCAGGAATTATTCATAATGATTTCTTTTTTTTTTCCTTTTAAATGATGAATTAAAGACAGGAAGAGTCTCTGCAGGGCTGAGAGCCTTAATCCATCCCAGGCTGCTCCAGAGAGAGGAGGGTGGGACATCTCACCCATGTCCTCCCCAGGAAAACCAAATTTCCAGCTGCATAATAATAATGCAATTCCAAACAGCCTAAACCTGCTCACAAAGAAACCATCAGCATCGTAATCAGTCACATGTGTAAGAACAAAGTCTGTTCCATCAGGATTCATTATTTGGTGGATTAATTACAGCGGGGGAAAAAAAAAAAGGAAAAAGGACATTTTTCTGCAATAGCAAACGTGAGTTTGGGCTGCAAAGGGAAGTAGCTGTAGGTGTGTGGCAGTTCCCGTGTGCCAGCACAGGTCGCTGCATTATTCAGCTGAGCTGCTGCTGCTTCAATTGGGCTGTGAAATCGCTGGAGTCAGTGCCTGGCTCCAAATTTTCGGTGCTCTGGGTGATGGAGAGTCCTGGAGTGCTGCTGGAGCAGCAATGCTCCAGCCAGACAGGACCCCCAGGCTGGAAATGTGGGTTTCACATCCACCCTCTGCTCTTTGTGGTATTTTTCCCCTGTAGGGATTCAAACCGACACATCAAAAGTGATAAATAACTTCAAATCCAAAGTCTTATTAAGCTCAAGTGGAGTTAGAGGCTGCAACTCCTAAATCCTCATTTGCATTTAAATTACAATGCGATTTGGGCTGTTGGGCTGTTAAAATAAAACTGTGCCTTGATGACCAACAGCAGCAGAGCCTTTAGGTTGGCAGGGCTTGCAATAACCTCAGCTGAAAGGCCTCAGGGGCTCACAAAGGGGAGTTTTTTCCTAGTCCAGGTAAGTTTTTACAACTCGAATTTAGAATCATGGAATGGTTCGAGTTGGAAGGATCCTAATTGATTCTTCCCCTGGACTCTGAGGCCACACCTTGAATCCTGTGCTCAGTTCTGGGCCCCTCAGCTCAGGAGGGACATTGAGGGGCTGGAGCAGGTCCAGAGAAGAGCAACGAGGCTGGGGAAGGGACTGGAGCACAAGTGCCATGAGGAGAGGCTGAGGGAGCTGGGGGTGTTCAGCCTGGAGAAGAGGAGGCTCAGGGGAGACCTTAGCACCCTCTGCAACTCCCTGACAGGAGGTTGGAGTCAGGTGGGGGTTGGTC